GCGGCGGCGCCAGCCCGGGCGCCGAACCCAGGACCCCGGCCACCGCCGCCCGGCGCTGCCGTTGCCACCGCGGCTGCTACTGCAGTGACCTCGCCTCTCAATGCACGCTGCTTCAGGTGCAGCTCTTGTAACCCTTTACACCTCTCGCATTCATCCCAGGCTCTTTTGTGCCTCGCGGAGTCTTGACCGCTTTCAGCGGCGATGTTTCGTCTTGTATCAATCGCCTCTCGTAGCGCATTGAAGTCTCCAGGCTCATCACCGTCCACTTCATTGCGCATGGCTGGTGTGAGATCTCCCGTTGACGCAATTTCCTCTCCCTGTCTGCCTTCTTTATGTTCTCTATCGCCATTACCTTTATTATTACAACTAGTTCTTGACCTGCGCTCATTTTATGAATATGTTTATGACACCCTCTCGGCTTTTCCCATTACCGTCCTCGCTACAGCTGTCGCTTAAGTCTTCATCGCTTCGTTTCCTTAATGAAGTCTGTCATATTTCGGAGGGTGAGTGTCGTAGTTTTGTCCAGTTCCGTCAGGCCGTCATCACCACCGCCTCCACCGCTGTGAATGCTGCCGCCGCTTCCACAGTCGCCGGCCCTTCCACTTCCACAGCTGCCACAGACCTCGCAGCTTGCGGAACCTGTCTGCCGTGTAGTACAGTGCGCAGCCACTTGCCCAACCACTTGTAGCGGTTGAAGACAAGAGTTTTAACAGCTCTGGTGTACGACTGCTTTGCATTTACAAGTACATTTTCTACGGAACTTAAAAGAAGTCGAGGAAAATGCTTTGTTTATGAGAGGTCATTTCTATGCCTCTTTGGAGATGTATATTCGGGGAGTTAACTTGGAAGTAGCTCATTGGGACACAGTATGTCTTGTCGTATTGTGTGGACAACGTGGCAGTGACAATGTTGATTTGCCTCTATTGTAATTAATTAATACATTCAAGGTCTTTGTGAACTAAATGCCTTGGTTTTGTGTTATCAATTAAAGGTTTGTTATTTCAATCACGTTTTTCTGTATCACAATTTTTAATACACTATTCAAATATTCGATTTCATTCCCTATCAAAAGAAATGGTTATTTAAAATGTTCATGAAATAGTAAGTAAAGGAATTATGTGGTATGATCTAGGTGATAGGCGAAAACTTTAAGAGGGAAGAACTTGTTGCAAGAGAATACGTATACTCAGCAAATAAAACCTAACAGTCAATAATTCTAAGAACAAGTTTAGACGCAAGGCTTTCAGTAATAAGGAGGCGATAGCAGGGAATCAGAGAAGCAGTATAAGAGGCCGTGAAGAAATTAATGATTAGAAAACTATAAAAGCGGCGATACTAATAAAACAAAAAGAAAAAAGAGTCGTCCGGAGGGCCGAGATCGTTAAGGCAGTAGTGCCGCAGCGATCTCGGACTGAAAGATCGCGGGTTCGAGTGCCGCCTTGCGCATGGTTGTATTTGTGTTCGTCCTCTCATCCCTCACCATCACCATATCACATCATACTGTTATCCATATCGCTAATATCATAGTGGTCGCTAATGACCTAGCTGTTGATCTGACCTCAAATAATAATAATAAAAATAATAATGATGATAATGATAATAATAATAAAAATAATAATGATGATAATGATAATAATAATAATAATGATAATAGTAATAATGATAATGGTGATGATAATAGTAATAATGATGATAATAATAATAATAATAATAATAATAATAATGGTGATAATGATGATGATGATGATGATGATGATGAGAGGAAAAAGAAATGAAACGTGAAAAGGTAGCTGAACGGAAAAGAAACTGCCCCGGAAGCGAAAGAGGCGCGGGCCGAGGTGGCGAGTAATCCGCTGGACGCGAAGTGCAGTGGCGTCGCCGTGGGTTGTGGTGGGCAGCCTCCTCGTCCGGCGGTTCGCGTGACTCCGCGCCTCCGACTCGACGCCGGCCGGGAAGCAGTGGTACCTCGCCGGCAGCCTCGCAGATCCATACGAAACAACCATTTCTTGCGATCGGGAATGCAATGTTCTAATCAATAATTTCTTCACTGCCTCTTCTTCAGCTTCAATGATTCCCTGTTATCACTGCACTGCCGTGTCTTGCGTCTAAACTTGTTCTTCGAATTATTGTCATGTTTTTATGTACAGAGTATACTCATTCTTTTGCAACATTTTCTTCCCTCTTGACGTTTTCGGCTGTCACATGCATCATACCATATAATTTTCTTTACTTACCATTTCATGTACATTTTAAATAACCATTTCTTGTGATAGGGAATGAAATCGAATATTTGAATAGTGTCTTCTAATATTTCGATATAGCAAAACGTGATTGAAATAACAAACCTAGTATAGTTGATTACAAAAAGCCAAGGTGTTTAATCCACAAAGACTTTGAATGTATTAATTAATTACAATAGAGGCAAATCAACATTGTCACTGCCACGTTGTCCACACAATAC